GGGACCCTTAGTCGGATCTGGACTTCCTCTCCGTCTTCATGGCTCCTGGGAGGCACCCGACTTCTCCCAAGATGTAGCTGAGAATGGGGAGTGGGCCTGGATGATTCCACCCGGCTAGCCTGGGGCCGTTCTCGGCCCATGGTGGCCTTCTCCAAATTTTGTCCCAACCATTCACTAACAGGTACTCGTCCCCAGGACAACCTCTCAAACACCATGCCCCTCGGGTTTCTAGTCTCCATATTAAGTGGCTCGTTGGGAGCCTGGAGACCTCCCGCGGCCTGTTCATTGTTCGGGTGAGTGTCGTTCTCTCTATTGTTTCACGCAAACTCCTCCTCTTGGCGCCTAGCATTTTCTTCCCTTTGTCTCACGATTTCCTCTGGCCCCTGCACACCACTGCTAAAGTTGGTAGCATTGCGTCTAGAGTTTCTGGTTCTTTGTCCAGCCATATTCTCATAATGTTTTTCTCACAGTTTATCTCTTAATGAGAGCACAAATGATGGGATTTAGCCCAACAACTATGGTGGTACGAAGAACTAGTATCTAAAATAAGAATGATATACGATGAATATATGACCATTGTATACTTATACTTGATTCAGCTTGGATTACAATGGAGGATTTATCTCCTATTTATAATCTACTGCTACTGCGTACATAATATGTAATTCGTGCGCTACATTATCAGGCTGATTGGCTATCGTACGTCAATTATGGGTGAGGAATCGATCATCAATCACCCCCAATCCCACAATCAAGGGGTTTACACTTGCCTTATATTTCACGATCCACCTTGACAGGCTGGGCTTGGCCTATTACTCCATTCAGTATTTGCATCCGATCCGAATCATCATTTGTAATCTGGATCTAGCCTTCGTCTTCATTGGGCTAAGAAGGCGGCCCACTTTATGATCCTGAAATCCATCAATAATATAGATGAATCGTGTGATGGATTACGTTACGGGTGAGAAAAATCTTCACTTGCATGAGTTGCATCCATTCGCTTCGATATCCAATCCATTTACCTTATATTCAAGGCCAATTTTATCTATTTCATTAAGTCAAGTGAAGTGGGTATCCATTGAGTCGGGTAAAAATTGATTTCCTTATGTGGTGGTAGCAAATGCGGATGAAGTACAATCTCTATAGCTATGTCAAGTTTGAACAGATGTCCGTGGGAGGCTTTCCCTTCTTTTCTCATTTTTTATCTCTATTTTCTATTTTGAGAGATATTTTTTCAAATATGGAAGTACTCCACATTTTTAGGGGAATAAATCTCCCCTATTTGTTGTTGGAATTTTTGGCATATTAATAGGCATTAAATGTACCAATTTTGGACATAATTATCAATAGGTCCACTAACAATTTTAATCGTTCATTAATGGACACACGTTCTCTCAAAAAGAGATAAATAAATATTTTGATATATTATATGCCAAAAATGGTAGAAGGGTGAATGCAAAATTGAATCTCAAAAATGACCTGCTAAAATAGAAGAGTGTAGTTGATGCATGCACATGCATATTTTTATTGAACCAATCTTCTATTACTTTTACACAGTGTTTAAAATTAGTCCATTTTTACAGAGTTAACTGGCTATTAATCCCCAATTATTTGAAACAAATTTTAACGCAGCGTAGTGTAACGGTCGTGTTAATGATCTCTCATTAACACAACCACTAATGTCACACCACTAAAGATGATGATTATTATAATTTATTAGTGGTGATAATGGTAGACATTACAAAATGAAAAGTCATCATGCTAGCCTATTTAAATTGAATGATGGTCTCTCTTTTATCTCACCCATACATGAGTATAGCTTGAGGAGAGAAGGAGTATTAACCTTTTTCATTTCATTCTTAAAAAGAAAGTTGAATGTTTTAGAGAGCTCTAGTTTTTCGGCCAATTTTCCTGGTAATCCTCATCATTTTTCCAGTCGATAACAATTTGACGACGTTCTCATTTGTGGGTGTGAGGTAGTCCGTACAACCACCGCACACGATAGCAGTTTTATCTTGGGAGTCAAGTGCCAACGTTCTCCACTACGGTAGGCGGGCACTATTACCTTAAGGACAGCTCTGCCGACTCTGTTGTCCTTCTACGATGTTCTGCTTCGTAGATTTTGTTCACTCGATCTACGTTCAATGGCCAGTTTGCAGCTTCAGTCTAGTGCATAAAGGTTTTAAAGCAAGGCCTTTGAAGATGGGAAGTTATTTTTATTTATTTATTTATTTATTGTAATTAAATTCGAATAAAATATAAATTTGGATTTATTTTTATTTTATTTTATTTTATTCTGGAGCCGTTCATCTTCCGCATCCATTGTAATCCGTAATACTCCCTCCGTCCCTGAAACATCTTCCCTTTTCGTTTTTTTCTTGTCCCACAAACATGTTCTCTTTTCCCTAAAAAGGATATTTCTACCCTTTTGTTGGGAAAAATATTATAGATTTTGATGATGATGTATTTAGATTGTAATAGGGACTTTAGGTCTCCCCCAATATTCAATGTAATTTTTCTTTTTAGAAATATTGTTAAAACCGAGTTCTTGAGATATCCAATAAATTTGTGATATTTCACTTTGTGGTTTGATGTCAATGGTTGAAGACGTAATCAAATTCAGTGATATGGAATTTAGATATCTTGATCGGAAATATCAGAGACAAGTAAGGAATTCTCAAAGCAATTGAAGATTCTCTAACCCGGAACAGTACATGATAACCGGATGTCTCGCTACCACCCGCTGAAGGCTAAGTCATCCGAATCGGAAGACTAGCGTGGATCTCTTCTCACCTGGAAGTCTATGAATGACTTTTCCGGATTTGTCAGCAAAGAACCGGATGCCTCAAACAAAGACCGGAATTCTCAAAAGCAGACAAGTGAGAAAAAGACTTAAAAAATTATCTAAGTCTTGAATGAAGAAATTCTACCCGTTGGTAAGGAAAAATCAATCTCTTGATTTTCAATGGCTAGATTGAAGAAAATTATGCTGATTCAAGAACAAATGACTTAAAGACAAAGTCTGGACCTCTCAAAGTGAAGAGCTCGCCCAGAATTCCCAAACAAGCACTAGAAGACAAATTGAGTAAAGAGCTACAGTCTAGAATTCTTGAACAACAGCTAGAAGACAGATTCTGTGGAAAAAGGAATCCATCCTCAAACAATTGGGTACGTCCAAACACCCATTCCAATGAGGAATCTTCAATCACAATCTTCATTCAAAATTAAAGCCAGCAAATGTAACGGATAGTCTATTTTGATTAAAAGGATAGATTACCCAATCCAGCTGTAAATAGCATCCTTGGAAGACTGGAGAAAAAAAATATATGTGATAGAAAGCAGAGAACACAACGAAGCAATCTCAAACTACAAAGCTATCACATTCACAGTTAGCCCAAAAAGCTTGATAAAAAGAGATTTCTAAACTCCTTATCCAGAAGCAAACTTCTCCTCCTTCCAGAGAGCTATAGTGTAAACACTTGAAGGTTTCCTTGCCTCAAGTACCACACCACGTTGAAGGATATAACTTTTAATCAAACTTCTTGATTAAAAGGGGGTACATCAACTTTCTTACAAGTTGATCTTGCAAGTCCTATTGTTCGGATCTTGCAGTTGTTGAAGAAGCGTGACCTTTGAAGGAACAACAAAGCCAGCACGAGTGCAGTAGCAACATTGGCCTTACGAAGATATACCGTGCAGAAATTCACACAAGTGTAATTGTTGGTTCATTATTCAACAACCAACTACATAGTGGATTTTGAGGACGTAGAAGGATTACCACACCTTCGAACCTCGTTAAAGTTTGCGTGTCTCTCTTTTTTATCTTTACTTATACTTGCAATTATATTAACTGTGAAAACTAACCCATCCATATTGATTACTGCTCAACTAAACCACCAAATTCCGCGCACTTAATCTAAGGTTCACAAGAACTCTAGATTAAACACTCATTTTCACGTTTTCAAAAAGAAACGAAAAAGTTTTTAATTTACAACAAAGTCTATTCACCCCCCCCCNCTTTGGGACCACCACCTTTAACCTAAATACTACCCAACTGACACCCAGAGCAACCCTATTTGACACATACCCATAATTTATGCTTGCCTACTCTCTCTCTCTTGCCCATTCCGCTTCCCCATCACCGCACTGTACCCTCCTCTTATCCTCTGTTCCGATCAATCTTCCCTTCTTCTTCAGAAATTGAATCACTACTAATTGTGATTCGTGTTTCTACGATGCCTTGCTTCAAGCTATTAAGCGATAGTGACGAAGAAAGTCCTTCTCCTTTGCCTACCCCAAATTCTCTCAAATCTGTGGTCCCTAAATACGACTCTGGTGACAGCGGATCTGGTACAACTGATACATATCCAACATGGTGGTATCGGAAAAAGTATCTTGGGGAGGCCATTTTCCCTCAGAGGATGAAGGGGCGTGTGACGAAGAAGTTGGGGAAGAAGAGGAATCTTTTACTTCGCAAAAAACTATCTCCCTTCTCTTAATATTCACACTTTGATTACTCTTTACATGTCCAATTTTATGATTTATTGGGGAACTTATGATGCAAACAACCATTATTCTTAGTGATTGGAAGTTATGAGCTATATTTGGCACTGTAGCTGTAACGCCCTGAAAACCAGTCTAGAAGTTTTTCGCTAATTAAATAAATAAGAATTATTTATTTACGATAATATATATATTCTTTGAAAGAATTGAAAGTCGTCTCAATATAACGAGACTAATCTGACGATAATTGTAAAGATTAAACTAAAAGACTAATCCATATTAATTAATGAAAAGAATTAAGACGGACCAGGTGGAACCTGTAAATACTTGCTTATTAACTATAAGAGTTATACCATTGGGGAGGGATCGATGAATCGAACCCAACGACGCAAACGTATCTGAATTCGGAGCAAGTTGGCCCGAAAAGTGTGTTTTTACCCAGACAAGTTATTTTAAATTAAGGACTGTAAAACCGTAGGCTTATTCACTCGCTCTTAATTCGATCGCCGCCCAGCTCTTCTTCTTCTTCCTTTGATTCAGCAGCGCCTCCCTCTCCTTCGATTCACCGCACGCGAAGACACCGGTGACGACGAGGGACGCTGACCAAACCAACGCCGGCGACCATGGTGACGGCGCGAGCAAATTCGAGCGCTGGCCCACCCTGTTTCTTCTCTGGTCAGGCACAACGGCGACGGCAGGGGGCTCTTCCTCCTCCCATCAAGTTCCGGCGTGTCCAGCTTTGCCCAACAGATTCGGCGACCTCGGATTCTAATCCAGCAACCAGCGGCGGCGGGTCTGACCCAACGAACTCCGGCGAACCAGGAAGCTCCGGCGACTACCTCTGTTCCAGCGACTGGTTTGGGCAGCAGCGAGGATAGGTCCAGACAGCAGTGGCGCGAGTCCTCTCTCCTCCAGGGACCTCCGGCGATGATCAAGACGATTTGGGCAGCAAGAAATAGACCCGAACGACGTGGTCGTATCCTGCCGAGCTCCAAACAACAGCGGGTAAAGCCGGGCAACAGCCACAGTGGAACTAGGCTGCGGCGGTGCACGTTCTCTGTCAACGATTATTGGACCATGCTTTCCTAGAATTCAAATTGAACCAACGAGGTGAGTACGTGGACATCTAACACTAGAATATGCATATATGTTTGAAATTCAGTTCATAATTGTTATCGTGATTGATCTATGTGGAATACTTTGTTGAATTGCTTGATTGTGGTTGCGGGGATTTTGTTAATTGAAAAGGGTAGGATGCAGGATTAGGCGTCGATAAATTATTGAATATATGTTTGATGAATTATTATGTCCTGTTTGGATTCATTGACGGATGAATTTAATCAGATTTGGGACTTGATTAAGAACATATCTATGTGGAAATTTTCAATGTTAAATGTTGGTACGTAGCTGAAAACAAAACATGTACGAAACTAAAATTTGTTGTATCAGACGGTAGGCGGTACCACCGGGACGGTAATGTGCTACCGTCACAATCTGTCTGTCCCTTCTCCTCTGCCAGTAGCTGTGACCGTTCAGTACCTAGGTACCGGACGGACGGTAGGCCCTATCGTCGAGTCGGTAGTGGCTACCGTGACAGGTCTACCGGCTGGGTTCAGTTAGCTCAGACGGTACCCCAGTACTGTAGGACTAGTACCCAGGTACCGTGAGGACGGTACCCCGTACCGTGAAGGATACCGTCTGGTACCTGATGCCGGGTTTGTTGATATGTGTTTTCGTCGAAGATTGATTCTGAGACCTTATGTGTTGTATGACGGTAAATTTGGGTGTCAATACCCAATTCTAGGCCGCTATGTGTTATGATTGTGATTGCTCTGTGTTGATCCAACACTTATGTGAACTATTATTATTATGGTGATCCAACACATGTGTGATTATGTGAAATACATATGTTTGGATACAATATTGCAAGTATAAGTGGGCTGATCCAGCACACAGCAAACAGGTACCGCGTGTTGATCCAACACGTTTGGTAAGGTAAGTCTACCTAGAGGGAAACTTTGGGACTAACATAAATATAGGAAATTAAGAGTATAAACCAAGTGGATGCCTGCTGGGCTGCAATGGTTAAGTCGATCTGGGTAAAAACGTACGTATGGGTATCCTTGAACTGCCTGGTGATCCATCAGTTGGGGATTCCACCCACCCAACAGAGAACTCCTTCGTTAGTTGAGCATGACCTGCTGATCTAGTGGGAACCCTCATGTCTCCCATACAGTAAAGTTATAGTCCTTAGACTAGTACAATTAATAGGGACAAGTTCTTGGTGATCCACCAATCGTGAGAACTCCCTCGTTGGTTGAGCATGATCCGCTAATCCAGTGGGAACAATCATGACTCCCTGAAAAGTAGTAAGTCCTTAGTCTAGTGTAGAGTTCAAGCAAAGATGAACGGTGATCCACCATTGCAAGATACGCTCCGTTTTGGCGAGAATGGAAAAGGGCAGGTGCCAGGTAAATTATATGATGAATTGTTTATGTGAACTGCATGATATTACACCTATGTGCATTGATATCATGTTATGATTATGAATTAGTGGATTCGCATATGTGTATGTTCGAACTGTTAGATATTTCTCACTCAGCTTCGTTGCTGAGCGTGTAGCCTCTCTTTCCCCTTGTTACACGTAGGTAATCATGGAGGGACTGACTTTGGAATCCATCCTGGAGGGCAGCATGAAAGAGGAGATGTATGGATGCAGGGATTTAATAATGTTTGATTTAATTATAAAGCTTCCGCACTGTTTGTATAAACTCCTATATGTATTTAAATGGTTTTGTATTATTTAGTTTTAAATTAAATGTTTTTAATTTATTGGAAAAATATTGTATATGGATATCAATTTAGTAGCAACCCGGTTCGCTAATCTATTTATTCGGGTTATGCGGGTTAGGGTGTTACTGTAGCTATATTCTAATGTCACCCCTTATTGGTTGGAGACTTACAAAACTCAATATTTGTGGTCTACCCTTTCTGTTTTGTGCGAGAAAACCTTTGCTTGGAGAGTATGAGCTGTTTTATTTATTGTTTATCTTTTGCCGAATTGATTGAGATGTGAACTTCACTCTATTTCTTCTTCATAAAACATTTATGACACTTGATTCTGTGGAATTGGTTAAACAGATGCTATGTTTCTTCTTCACAAAGCATTTACTACACTTGATTTTGTGGAATTGGTTAAAGAGATGCTATGCTTGTCTATGTTTTCTTTACAAAACATTTACTACACTTGATTCTTAAGAATTGATTAAACACATGTTATGCTTGCATATGTTTCCTTCATAAAACATTTATTACACCCGATTTGGTTGAGTTGGTAAAATAGATGCTATGCTTGCCTATGTTTCCTTCATAAAACACTCACTTCACCTGATTTTGTTGAATTGGTTAAACAGATGCTATGCTTGCCCAAGTTTTCTTCATAAAACATTTACTGCACTTGATTCTAGGATAAAAAACATGTTTTGCTTGCAATTGATACAACCAAGGCTATACTTAGATACATGACCAAAGAAAAGGTATACTTGCATTACAATATAAGGTATATATACTTTCATTACAATATAAACTTTACTATCACAAAAAGCAAAAAATTCCCATTGCCTAAAACTTGCATCTTCAATACTTGTTCTTTGCCATTCAAAAGTTCTACAATATTTGTTCCCATCCAATAATTGTGCAAAAAGTTGTGACTGAAGGTACAGGGAGACATTGTACATTTCCTTGTCCATGTTTGCACACATAACAAAAAAGTACCCAATATGAAGAAGGTACTGACATTTGTTCCTCTAAGAACAGTTGAGCAATTTCATACACTTGGGTGCTAACCCCCATGTTTTGTGGCAGTCTCCCACTACAAAAAACTTGACATTTTGTGGCACCAAATTTTGCTATAAAACATAAAAAATTAGCCACAATAGTTATTTGTATCAATTTTGGAATTTGCCACAAGGTTGCAATAGATACTTCGTTACAAAAGGTATTTGTGGCAAATTTAAATTTGCCACAAAAATTATAGTTTTTGTGGCAAATTATGATTTGCCACTAATAAAAATTTGCCACAAAAGGTCATGTTTAGTGGCATATTTTAGTTTCCACAATTTATTATTTGCTACAAAAAGTTATATTTAGTAGCAAATTTATGATGCCACAAATTATACTTTGCCACAAAAAACCATGTTTAGTAGCAAATATTAATTGCTACAATTATCACTTTTTTGTGGCAAACCTAATATTATTGAGAATTAAATTATTATTATTATTATTTATTTATTTGTATTATATTGTACATACATTGTATTTTACATTTAATTATATATGCAAAGTGATGTAAAATAATAATAAAAACAAAACATATATGCTACTCATAATTCAATCCCAAACAATCAAAGGTTCACAATTGTTAATATAATAGGGTTTTGACATAAAATAAATATAGTACTAAACATGGCAAAATTGTTAAAGTATCTTAAATGCTTAACATCTAAGCTTCTTCTTTTCATTTCATCTTTTCACATCTATCTCGAATGTAATTCCACCCAAAGTCATGGAAACTGAATGACATCTCTCATATAGACCCTTGATCTGCATATTAAGAAAATAAAATTAATAAAGAAATAATCTAGTAAGTAGGGCACGTATAAAACAAATTAAATAGTGTTTAAAATGACCATAGCAACTAGAGCGAAAGGCATGATCAGATTAGGCTCAGTACATATTATCTATGGGAAATATACAAAAGAGTTAAATGACACTAATAATAAATATTGGTTTTATTTATAAAATTTTATTTCGAAGAAATGTATGTATAATATTATACGTAATAACCAAAGAATTCTAAGAAAATAAAACTCTAATTCAGTTTTGAATCAACACATGCTACACTTTTCAATGCATCCAGTATGTAAAAAACACACTCATGTAGAGACCTACCTGATGCTCTAGCTAGCTAGCTATATCTTATGAGTTCATCTTAGAACAATGGTCTTTGAATATGTGTTTTTAGATTTGAGGAAGCTAAGTCAGTTATAAGAATGATATATAATATCTTTTGACCAGAGCATGTATTGATTCCATTCTTCAAATTAAATAGTGTATAAAGCAACCAGAGCACATTTGAAAGTTGAAACCATTCTTCAAATGAAATAGTGTTTGGACCCCTTAAAGAGTGTAGAGAAGTTACAATTGTCCCTACCAATGGCATTATACTTACTGTACCTGTGTTTGGACCCCCTAAAGAGTGTATAGAAGTTAAAATTGTCCCTACCAATGGCATTATACGTACCGTACCTACTGTGACAAACCCTCCCATATGGACAATAGATATTAAAAATATTGAGGGTCTTGAGGGCATACACACTACCATGCCTATTAAGGATGAAGATATTTGTGCTGTCACAAACTCTCCAACTATTAACCAATTTGGTCCCTTAACTAAACATTTGGATCCAGACAACACTCATCAAGTTTGTTTAAAACCTGATGTGTCTACTGATTCCGGCCTCCACCCCTGAAATGGCTAGGCAGTCACTATACAACTTCAAGGGTAACCACACGGAAAACAACTCTAAGTGTTCACATAAAACTTCAAGGGTAACCACCCCTGAAATAGCTGGGAAGCCACATGTAACTCTAAGTGTTCATATTCAAATCCCATGAACAAAGAATTGTTACAAAAATGAAGCAGGCAGTTACTTCAAATGGATTGACATCAGACTAATCAAACATATTTTGCATGACAAGTAGTGCGAAAAACAAGGCCACCACTGATAGATGGTCTACTTAGACTTAATAAATACACGGGTGAGACAACACTAGCGTGTGATGGTTACAAAGGGCCACCCCTGTTAGGTTATAAAGAAACATTACTCAAACTATTCACGTTCAAATTCCATGAACAAAGAATTGTTACAAACATGAAACATGCAGTTACTTCAAATAGATTGAAATCAGACTAATCAAACATATTTTGCATGAGAAGTAGTGCTAAAGGCATGATAAAATTAGGCTTAGTACGTATTATCTATGGGAAATATACAAAAGAGTTAAATGACACAAATAATAAATATTTCATAGATGAATCAGTACCTTGTATCATTCAAGGGGGCTATGCTCCTTGGAAGTGAAATGAACATGTTGAGATGAATTACTTGATGCCCTGTATACAAAAGATAACTAGGTCGATAAAAAATAATCATATTCATCTTAAAATACATATAAATTTACAAAAACTATATATACCTCTGAACGTGGTAAAGAAGCCAATCTCTCCTCTAGGGCACGGATACGAGCTTCATAAGTTTCATTAATTTCAGACACTCTTTTATTCAGTTCAGTATCAATCCTCTCTTGCTCAAGAACCTTTGTAATATCTTTTTTCACATAAGAATGAAATGACAACACTTCTTGTCCCATGCCCCTTTGATGATTTGACCCTTTTTTATGTTTAAGGACAATCTCAAAAGTCTCTTGTGGAGTGAGATTATCTTCTCCATATTTATCTAGTTTTTCCTGATGCAATGCTTTGAGATCATCATCTGCTTTCTCTGCATACTCATCCGACCAAGTACCATTTTTTTGTTTCTTAGTAATTTCCCATAGGGCCATATAGTATGGTTCCTCTTCCACTTCTTCAGTTTCTGATAGATTCTCTTCATCACACTCATCTGAATCTGCTTTCTTTGCTTGTAGCTAAAATTTTAAAGGTTGTGTTAATCATAGGGAATGTAAAAAAATCTAATTTCCTATCAATAGTAACCTACTAATTGAAATATTAAATGAACTTCTATCTTCTATCTTCTATCTTCTGGGGGGAAACAGTTTCTCATTAAAAGTGTGTTACAGGCTCTACCTTCACATATCTTCTCTGCAATTCAGCCCCCAAAGGGAGTCCTAAGAAGGATGGAGCTTAAGTTTGGTACTTTTTGACCTTATTGTGGCTTTGGTCATGGCCTAGCTTAGTTCTAGCTGGGACCTGATGTGGCACTGGTCATGCCATAGTTTAGTTGCATGTAGCTAGGACCTTATTGTGGCTTTGATCAAGCCTTTTTCTAGGTTTATCCCCCTTACCCTATTGTATTCCCGGGAAGGTTTGTCTTCCGTATGGAATCAAGCCTTAGTTTGGTCCTCCCCTCATTTTGTGGTTACGTGTTATTTTAATAAAACTTGGTAAGGATAGCCTAGACCTTACCCCACCAACCTTGATGGTTTACCCACTGGGATTTTAAAAAAAGAACTTCAAAAGAAATTGAAATATTAAATGCAAAGATATTTTACCATATCGTAGAAGGAGCTTGCAATTGATTTTGTACCAACTTTAGACAACATTGTTTGAGACTTCTGATTGTTTTTGTTTGTCTCACTGTGTCGCTGCTATTCCAAACACGAAATAGAAAAACTAACCATGCTTAAAATATGAATATTATTTTTCATTTATTATTTGCATGGCCATGGAAAGAACAGAATTAACAAGTATCTTTACGTACCCTAAACTTTTCACTATCCCAGTAACTCACCAACCATTTCCATTCTTCAGGATATACTTCACTAGGACAATTAGCAAGACGACCAGCGACTGCTGGATGATCAGAATAGGCTTTTATTCTCAAATCGTAACGCCACTTTCTATACCAGGTGTTTGCTCGCCTTTTGATTGTTTTTTCTACATGACTCCCTTCAGGCAATTTAAATAATTCCTACATATAATAAAAGTGTTAATCTTTATCTCTATGATCATTATCTACACAATAACATATTTAAATAACAACCTTTAATTTCATGAAATACTTCCATTTTTTATCGGGATGTATATGACCCCCATTCTCTACATCCAAAGGCATGCATTGTTTCATCAAATAACTCGCTTCACTATTAAATTGAGTGCTGTTCATCCCAACAACACGATTAAGCTCAGGTGGGATTTCAATCTCAACTTTGTTCGGAATGATATCCCTTTTTCTCTTCCAGTTTTGACATTTTGTTTTCCCACGAAGTACCGGAGTAGCTAGAACAATGACATCAACAAAAGTTAATGACAATTATTAGGCTGAGAAACAAACTAATAACTTTGGAATGACTACCTTATCAATGAACTATATACTTTCCAAAAAATCATTATTAGTCTACTATTACTATTCGCGTACCCGCCAGCATGTGAAAAACTTAAATGAAATGAAGTGATAACTAACCTTGTTGTACGGATGGGTTCATATGATTTTCATCCCCAACACTTGTATTCATTGGGATATTGGTAGTTCTACCTATATATGACAGTTCAATAATACATACACAATTACTAAGTCTATGTCGGCAAATTGTAATTAGAATGAACTACAGCGAGAACAAATAAATAGAAATGAGCCACTACCTCTTTCATGGAGTGGGAGAATTTCTCTTTGTGAAGTCGTTGATCTTGTTTTTGGAGCTTGTCTTTCAAACAAAACTCCATCCATGTCTCCACAAGTCCGACAGTCGTGAAGGCCTGCTACTTCAGACACACATCTTTCATCTAATAAATAAGAAGAGAATAAATCACACATTTTTAAAATCAAAACAAAATATAGGTTTTTTATCACGGTCCACGATGAAGTTATTGGTTACAGATCTCGATAAACAGAAAACAGAAATCTAGAACAAGAACTTATTGGAAATCCTTCTCCAATTAATTGAAAAACTTTGAATGCATAAAATACAGAGAAACTATCCCTATTTATAGATGAGTTAACCTTGTCCACCAAGTTAAATCATCAGCCTTGCTCTCCAAGCATAACATCTCTTACTCCTACAAGCTATGATAATCTCAAATCCATCTGAGATATATCTCCTAAAATTATGACTGACTCTACCCTAATTATTAACAAATAAAGACTTCAACATAATTACAAAATAAACCCCCTAACTATTACTGAATGTCAAGATTGGTCCAACAATCACCCTCCCAATCTTGACCTTGAGTCTTCTTTTACTTCTTTGAGTCCTTCAAGTCTTCAATCTTTTATACCCCAAGAATCTTTCTCATTTCAGCAAACTTCAGCTTTGGCAATGCTTTTGTAAGAATATCAGCCCGTTGTTGATCTCCGCTGATGTGCTCAACTTTAATCTGCTCCTTTTCAACACACTCTCGTATGTAATGATACCGCGTGTTGATATGCTTGCTTCTTCCATGAAATACTGGATTTTTCATCAAGGATATTGTTGATTTGTTATCTACTTTGATAACCACTTGTTCTTCTTTTCTTCCAGTTATTTCAGCTAACAATCCCCTTAACCATATTGCTTGACATGCTGCTGAAGTGGCAGCCATAAATTCTGCTTCACAAGATGATAAGGCTACTG